TTCTGTACTCTTATCGATGTGGCTGCCCGGACGCTTATATTATTACTATTATCGGGTTGCGTGCCCTCTGCAGCATTTATATCTGTTATTGAATATAATATATTATATTATAAGCGTATTATACTTAATACAGCATAATATAATATAATATTTTATATATTATTACTATTATAATATGTACGTAGTCACAGCCCGTTACACCTCCTCGCCCTTTCAAAGGTTTTTGTAGGGCTACAATTTGTAGAACTACAAAAATCTTTAAAGGAATTTTACATAAGACATGGATATAAATACATAGTACATAAATTGTTAATAATTGTCATAAAGACAATTTTACATAATTTCTTTTCATGACATAATGATTTTCATTTTACATAATTTCTTTTACAATACATAATTTTTCATCACAAAACATAACAATATTTCTTTTTATAACAATATAACATATCATAACATTTTTTTTTTTTTATATATATATAACATAACAGTTTCATTACATAACAATATATAATATATTTTTCATCTGATTTTTAAACATAATAACCAGGGCTAGTAACTTCATGCACTAAAAAATGCATAAATAAGCATGCATTCATGCACTAAAAATTGTCAAAATATGCATTAAAATATACACTTAAAAGTTCGAAAATATGCATTTATATGCCTTCACATTTTTAAATTATGAACTCAAAATATGCATTATGTAAAAAAAACATGACCAAATTTTAAAATAATAAGAATAAATCCATACATTTTAAAAGTATTTTATTCCTTCAGTCAAAATTAATAAAATAAAAAATAAAATTAATACTTGTGAAGTTCAAATAGCTTTGACATCTTTATAAATTTTAATTAGGACTTAGGTAGTCATTTTTGTCTAATTTGTGTACACCCTTATTCAGCACCAACAATGAAAACATTTGGAATTAAATATTAGGTTTTTCATTTTGAGATAATTTAGTAATATATATTTTATAAGTGTATTTTTTATGTTTTCCAACTTAAGAGGGCACACTAGTTGACAAAATATGGCATAAAACCATGGTTTCGTAATTCAAGTAATACGGCTTATTGAAGTAGTTTACAGTAGTAAGAAGCCCGATTTTCGATATTTTTATTAATTAGCTAAATAATTAATCAATAAAAAATTTAAAAAACCGTTATAATTTACCATGCGATATTGGACGATTGGAACAAGATATCAAAAATCGGAAAAAACTTTTCAAATATTTGTCTAAAAAATATTTTTATGAAATAATATGCACTAATGACTGTAAAAAATCAACTATATGCCAAATATGACTTTACACCCAAAACATGCAAAAACATGCACTATCAAACTTCATATTATTATTACTATTGTTATGAAACGGATTTGTATCACAGTTAGCATGTTTTCCTGTGTAGCAAAAAAAACATGCAGATGCATGAACTTACGAGCCCTGATAATAACATAATAATTAAAATTTTTTTGTTAACACATTATACCTTAATAACTAATACAATAACATACTATATTACTATAGCATTGGTTACAATAATATTTTAATGTTAAGTTACATGTTATATATAATTTATTTTTAATGATTACAATATTTCATAATCTCCAATGGAATTACAGACCAGTATATTTTAATAAGTGCGTGTTTAAATTTATCTTTTCATTATTGTTAAAAATCAGTATTTACTGTACTGGCATAATTTCGGTAATATTATTTTACTATTAAAAAAAATTAGTATTTTCCATTTTTATGTCACATGGTTACCGTTTTACTAAAGGTCGAGTAACCATGCTCCGAACCAAACTTCAAATGTACTTTGTTAAAACTGTAAAATAATTCATTATGTTAACTAGGGACATGACTAATTAGATTTTTATAACAGGTGTCATGTAAGAAAAAATGCTAATATAACATAAAATAATAAAACAAATTATTTCTAATAGACTTATTGGTGACGGAGACAGTTCTGTTACAAAAAAATTAAACGCGGCTAAACCCTATGGACCAACACAACAGATAAAAAAAATTGAGTGCAAAAATCACTTACTAATTAACTACTTAAACCGTTTAAAAGAAATGAAGACAAAACGAAAAAGTACGAGTGGTTTGGTTGTTCCTGGTGTTCTCAGAAAATTATTAAATGACAACAAACTATGAATTCGGTAAATACAATTTTAGGGTGTAGGTGGAAGCAGTAGTCTTGATAGTTAATTTTTTGTTTAGATATGGATTAACAAAAGCTATAGACCACTGGAAAGACTTGCCAAATCTAACCCAAAATCAAAAAATAAGATTTTTGAAACGTGACATAGACAATGGGCCTTCCATGTTTTTGGTTGTCACACAAATTGTGATCCGTCAGTATGGATTAGAGCATTAATTATGATTTGTATTTTCATGTTATTACTTTTTAGATATTTTTGTAAAGCTGATTCCACTTCTAAAAATTATGTGCCTGAAATGGAAGCATGTGGTTTGTGGCAAGACATAATTGCTGCAAAAAATTTAGTAGCTTTTCACGCAGACAGTCTTATTCATAACTTGAATAATAATTTTGTGGAGTCTTACAACAGTGTAGTAGCAAAATTTGTAGGGGGGAAAAGAGTGAACTATTCCCTGCGAGGTAAATAAAATATGATTTAAAAATTAAACGTTGATAATTTTAATATATTTATGCAGCATAGGTATACATAATAAGCATTTTTTTAGGTTCGTATAACACTCGGTGTATGACAGCAGTATCATCGTATAACTTTGGCCCGGAGTACATGCGAAGGTTGTTTAAAGAGGCAACTAAAGAAAGTCCGGGAAAGTTTACCAAACGGTTCATTTGTAAACTATCAAAAAAAAAAGCCTACGCAAAGAGTACTCCAAAAATCAGACTCAACTTTGAGCAAAAACAGTATATTATTACAATATAAAATAATAATAATAATAATAATGATTTATAAATTTATATATTATAATATATTATTATTTTAATTAATAAACACTATATTTTTAATTCTTATTTTATGAATATTCTAAGTCATTTGTATTACTTTTTTGTATTACTTGGTTTAGGTTACAGAGCAAAAAATTTGAGGGGCCCGATACTGATTACGGCGATTTGTGTAATGAGCTGGGTTGTGAAGAGCTTTCGCTTTCAGCCGAGGAAGTGGAAGAGAAAAAATCAGAGTTCCTAACTTCTTTGATAAAAAGTGTTGAAGAAATTCACGAAGTCGAACGAGCTACAGTAGACCAGGTTAAAACAAATACAAATTTTATTTTATTCTATTTTACTTTAACACTATAAAAATTGCATAAAAAACAATTATTTTGTCTTTTTCATTCCTTTTTAATTAAAAAAATGTTTATTCTTGTTGTTATAGGTCAAAAGCGACATTTGGCATAAAGAGCGGAAGTTTCGACTAACTGCTTCAAATTTTGGACGTGTATGTAAGCTTAGAGCCAACACCCCCAGAACAAATACCGTAAAATATATTTTGTACGGCGAAATGTTCACACCATCAACTTCGGCATTGAGGTACGATTACAAAATATTTACTTAGTCAAATTCAATTATATAGGTAGGTACACAACATTTTTGTTTATAGGTATGGAATACAATATGAGCCCATGGCTAAAAAAGATTTTGAGCTGAAGTTGGGATTAGAAGTATTGCCAGCAGGTCTATTTATAGATGAGATTATTAATTTTTTGGCTTGTTCTCCTGATGGGTTGATAGGATATAAGGACTTATTGGAAGTAAAATGTCCTTATAGCGCTAAAGACATGACAGTCATCGAAGGTGTTGAACAAAAAAAAATTAAATTTTTGTCGGTCAACAACTCAGGCGAGTTGCAATTGAAAAAAACCGATATCTATTACTACCAAGTGCAGGGTCAATTGCACGTGGCTAATAAACAAACCTGTTATTTTGTAGTTTGGACACCAAAAGGTAGGTAAGTATAATAATACTATAACATCCAAACCTAATAAAGTTCTTACATAAAATAACATGTTATATTTCTATTTAGATATTTTTATAGAAAAAATTGAGCGAGATGATGACTTTTGGAAAACTAAAATGGAAAGTCAGTTGATACAATTTTATAAAAACTATTTACTGGCTGAAATAGTACAGCCAAAAATAGTAGTATAAAATGTATATGAATGTATTTGAATGTAAATAAATATATTGTAATATGAATTATTTTACCTGTGTTTTACTCATTATTAATAATTTATATTTTTCGTTCTTGTGATCATGTTTTCCTTTTTTATTAATTGTACGTACAAGTGTACAACGTACATTATATTTCTAACTAATTATAAATGTAAATAAGCGGCATTTTATACTTATTAGTTATTAGTATTGGACATTAGTAGATTAGTAGATAAGATAACGTATTTGTAGACCGCTAGAACGGCATAGTGCCCAGTAACAATGAGTGGTGGTTTGCGGGTCGCGGGAGATATATACGCACGCGCATGCACATGTCAACGTAATCACCAGCCAGAAAAATTTCTAGCGTGATTTTTTGTTCAATACACACTTTACAGGAAAAACTCTCACCCCTCGTGGATTGGTCCGATTTTCGTATTTTTTTTTTTTTGTTAGATAGAGGAATATTTTTTACAGGGCGCATTGGACTTCGATTTTTGATAACGTCGCTAAAAACAAAAAATAATACAAAAACTAAAAAGTGGTAAAAATTGATTAAATTCAAACTTGTAACATAAGACTTAGAAAAATAATTTTGAAAAACCAAGTCCAATGCGCCCTGTAAGAAGTCTTCCTCTATTTAACAAAAAAAAAATTACGGAAATCGGACCAATCTACGAGGCGTGAGAGTTTTTCCTGTAAGGCATGTTTTTGAGCAAAAAAACAGGTCGCGTGCAGGCCCCTTAAGATCAAAAACGTAATTGTCGTAATTATACTGTGGTTCCGGTTCCTTATTAAATGCTGAAGGAATAGTTGGTTTCGTTCCGAATACCAATTCGTACGGCGTAAAGTTAGTCGACGTAGGTATGAACCGTCGTGTTATAGCAAAAAGTTGCGTAACATAGGAGTTTATCCCAATTGTTGTCTTTGTCTACGAAGCTACGTAAGTAAGCTTTTAAAGTATTATGTGACCTTTCCAAAAACCCGTTTCCCTGTGGGTGCCATGCCGTTGTCTGAATCTTTTTAACGTCCAATAGCTTGTACATGCCTTTAAAAACGTCGGATAAAAAGTTTGTTCCACAATCGGTTAGAATTGATTTCGGAATTCCGTATGTACATACGTAACATTCGACGAATGCCTGTGCTACAGTTGGAGCGTCAGTAGAAGATAATGCAATAGCAAGTGCGTAACGAGATAACTCGTCCTGCAAAGTTAGGATATACATATTCCCCATTAAAGTTTTTGGTAGTGGTCCTACGATATCAAGACAGATTTGTTCAAAAGGTTTAACTACTGTAGGTACTAGTAATTAACATAGGTTGTTTGGTTTTAACATGTGATTTGTTTTTCTGACATAGTTCACAGTGTTTAATATAACGTTTAACGTCTTTTTTAATATTACGCCAGTCGTGGTTAAGTTTTAATCGTTTTAGTGTGCGTGATACACCGGAGTGCCCGCCCAAAGGTGAATCGTGATGCTCGTAAATAATTTGTTGTTTTTCCTCGTCGGTAAAACGTTCACCCGTATATATTTTTACTACGATGTCGGTCGAACGAAACACGTACCGAAACATCGCTCGAATTCTTAAGAAGTTTGTTAATGAAGTAGGTCCGTCTATCTTGACAGTAGAAAAGGATTTAATTTGATTCGCAATACAATAGTCACGAATATCGTATATGGCTTTATAAATAGTTTCCGCCTCCAACGGTACCGTGTGTGTTTTGGAAATGTTATAAAATATAATTAATTTTGTACCATCGGTGTAAGTACAGAACCGGTTTTCGTCGGTAAACTGTATTTCGTTAAAAGCAATATTTTCGGTAATTGCACGTATCGTCGGATGCGTAATAATTTTGTCTTCCGGAATCGTGACTATAATGTTTTCACTTTCCGTGACCTTGCTAACGTCGCCTTCAATCTCGAGAATTTTAGAATTAAATATTGGCTTATTCTCGGCGGTACGGAAGTCCTTGAACTCGGTATCGACATTCGTAGATTCCGTTTGTATTAGTCTTATACGCGATAAACAGTCGGCGTTCGAGTGTTCGGGTCCCGGCCCTATACGTAATAGTATAATCGTAATCGGCTAGCTGTAACCGCCAGCGCATAAGTTGCGACGATGCGTCTCTAATACCAAACAGGTATGTTAATGGTCGATGATCCGTTATAATGTTGAAATGACGACCATATAAATAAGGCCTGAAATATTTTACGGCCCAGACGATGGCTAATAATTCTTTTTGGATAACGCTATAGTTACATTCAGCTTTGTTTAATGTCCTACTCGCGTATGCGATAGGTTGGTCTTTAGGAACGGTCCCTTGTGACAAGACGGCCCCTATTGCATATTGGCTCGCGTCGGTCATTAAGTTGAACTCCCCGTTTTTCCAATCTGGATAGACCAGTAATGGTGGGTTCATTAAAGCCTTTTTTAGTTCCTCGAAACTATGTTCGCAGTTATCGGTCCATACGAATGGTACGTTTGTCGCGGTCGTTATCGCAACGGCCGCGGTGTCTCTATCGGCGTCCGCGAGATCGCGACCGACAACCGGTCTGGCCGCCGGCCCGGCCAACGGCGGTGGCGACGGTGGCAGCTTTCGCCGGACCGTTGACAACGTCGCACACGTCGAAATAGTAAATCCGCGATAATTATATAGTGTCTATATATTATTATATCGTACTTAATAAACGTGTTGTCGTTACCAAAAAGTGTCTACATTCTTTCTAAACCGAACACATACCTACATTGGCGCAGTCGGAACAGGAGTAAGGTAAGTGCTAATTTTAATAAAAAATAATTTTACGTAAATTAAAGTAAATTAGCACATATCGGGTTAAAAGAACCTACAATAGGTGTCCTGGTCATACCGGTTCCTAATATTTTTTTTTTATTCTGATTTTTTATTATAAATAAAATATTAAGGGCTTGTCCAATCTAAGGTGGTAAATTGTAGCAAAATTTGCATAATTTAGCGTAATTCCTACAGTGCTAAACTTGGTTTAGGCTATTTATAGATTGGAAAGTACATATCTCTACCAGCGATAGCCCGAGTTACGTAATCTCATATCTAACGTACTTTAATTAGGTAGATAATAGCAGTTAAATTTAATAATCACAATGGGTACGAAACACATTGGTGAATTAACTATTGCTGAGATTAACCGGGAGTTACATAAGCGTGGTATTGAGACCGGGGGGTCCAAGGCCGATAAACTCTTAGCATTAGAAGAGTATATTAGGGCTAAGGAAAATTTGGATCCAGGATCAGTACGGTTTGGGGAAACTGACGAGACGTCAGCCCAGGTACCGGAAGGGAAAACATCGGTGGCTCAAACTGAGGAGGATGAGGTCGACTCTGAAAAGAGTTTGATAAACCAGTTTATGGAGCAGATGTTAGATAGGCTGGAGGGGTTGGAAGCAACGGTCGACAAGCAGCAACTGACAATCGCTACTCTCAGCGAGAGCGTGGAACGCTTGGAGCGGGAGTTAGCCGAAGAAAAGCTCAAGTCGACCGAACGGGTGGAGCAAGCAAGTTGCTCATGCCGTGGAAATACCCAACAACCATCAACCAGCGACTTATCCGGGGCAAATCAGAGTTGCTCGGACGAAAGTCAAAATCGTCCGGTCAAAACTCAAAAAATGAGTTTTGAGAGCCGATGGGCGAACATACGGAGCAGATTGACCGGGGAAAACCCGAGAAATCAGAGTGTTTCCGGAGGTTCCGGTAACCAGTCCGGAGGGTCCGGTGAAATGTCCGGAGTCTTCGGTAATCTGTCCGGAGTGTCCGGTGAAGTTTCCGGCAGAAGTCATGAGGAAGCGTTACGGAGTAGTTTTTCCGGTGTAAAACGCGTGCATTTCCCGGATAGCCTGCTCATTCCTCAAAATGAGTTGAATATGGCCCGTGCGTCGATACCAGAGTTTGCCGGTAAGAGGGAGGAAGACCCAGTGCGGTTTTTGCTCCAGGCCGGGGCAATACTTGAAGAAACTGGTATCCACAAGGCTAGATGGGTGACCGTTTTGGCTCCTCAGCTGAAGGCTCAGGCAGGAACATGGTGGGGAACCATGAGAGCGTTGGACTTACCATGGCAAGAGTTCAGGGCGGAACTATTGGAGAAGTTCAACGGGGACGAGTTGCAGTCGAGTCTGCAATCAGAATTGTTGAGCACCGCTCAGACCAAGACCGAAACACTGGGGGAGTACGTCCTACACAAGTACCAGTTGTATCGGCGGTTAAACCTTGGTCTGACAGAAGAGGTGGTGGTAATGACAGTGATTGGACTCATGCGTGATGAATTTAGAATTCATGCACGTATACAGCGACTGAAATCGTTCAGCGAATTACGAGCGCTTGCCCATGTTCTGGATGGTAGCAAGGCCGTAATTACGGATAAGGCGGGAGTGAGCACCAGCGTACCACCAAAGTCAAAATGGTTGGATAGACGAAAAGCTGAGAGTGCAGAGAAATCCCAAGTGCCAAATCCGAAGCAACGACTATCTTCGGGAGCAGGATGCAGAGTATGTGGTAGTCATGACCACTGGCAAGCTGCATGTCCGAAAAGAAAGTCGGAGTCGGGAAACGCCAAAACGACCGGCGGGACCGCCGGGTCCCGACCGGCCAGGAAGTAACCGGTGAAAAAGTCACGAGTCGTCCGAAGAGTGGTAAGCAACGAAGTTCAACTCGGGCAGTGAGTAACGTTCCGGAGCAGGAACCACAAATTACAAGAACTGACCCGAAGAAACGGAACTTCGGAGCGTTACGGACCGGAGACTCGGGAAAGGGCCCGAGGAAATCGGACCAAAAGAGTTCTGAACCGGTAAAATCTGGTAAGAACGTAATTCCTCCGGAGGAAAACTTTGGTCACCCGAAGGAAACCTCCGGAGTGAGGAGTTGTCCAGTGAAAACCGTCGAGCCTCCGGAGAGACGCCGGAGAAATCGCCGAGGCCACCCGAGAAAACCCATTGAAAACGACGTTCCGGTAAAGGAACCACAGTTCGTGACAATGGACCGGGTAAATGGTTCAGTGATGGAAACGGGTTTCGACCAGCGGGACAACAGGTCGGGAAAATCGTTTAGGATTGAAAGTGTTCCGGACAAAAGTGAAAATCTCACCGAGGTGAAGGATCTTTCCAATAAAAATGTCGCGGACAGCATTTCAAGTGATGCGGAACAAGATGAGTTAACACAGGAGTTGTTAATTTGTCCGGTCACAGCCGAAGATTTTTCCGAGGAGTTTATTCCTTATCCACGGGAAAAGTGCAAGAGGAGAAACTCAGATACGGACTCAAAGTTCGAGTTGAGAGAACGCTTTTGGGGTCTACGGACCGGAGTGTTAGAGTCTCCAGCCATTGCAACGGTGTCAACGGGGAAAACTACAGTAACGGATGTTCCGTTACCGGCCATAGAACTAGAGTTTGCACTCGGGGCAGTAGTAGCGCTACTGGACTCCCAAGCGGCGAGGACATACGTCAAACCGTGGGTGGCAAAGAAGTTTGGCCGGAGTTTTACCGAAGAACCGGATATTGTCCGGATGGCGGACGGTCGGACCCGAGAAATTACGGAGTTTTCCGAATTTCGGGCACGGATAGTGGATCTGGAGGTAAGCTTCAGGGCTTCAGTGTTAGACGATCTCATTGGAGATGTCTTCCTCGGCCATGATTTCCTCGTGGAGCATCAAGTCGCTTGGGACTATAGCGGTTGCATAATCCACCTGGGGAAAGGAAGACGTGTTTCCGTGAGTTGGAGAAATCCAGTAACTCCGGTCACCGTAGGAGTGGACTTAACAACCGCAGGATTACCCGAAGGAGAGTACGGTATGCGGGTCAAAAAAGTCCTTTGCCAATATCCGGAGGTTTTCTCCGGAGAGGTAGGCAGAACTCGGGTGATAGAGCACCAGATCCGTCTCAAGGATCCAAATCCGGTGGCTCTAAACGCTTACGGGTACTCCCGAGAGAAAAACGAGGTTATTGCCGAAATGGTGCGAGACATGGAGGAACAGGGTTTTGTTGAACCTAGCATATCTCCATGGGCTGCACCGGTGGTACTCGTGAAGAAAAAGGATGGCTCACGTAGGTTTTGCGTGGACTATCGCCGTTTGAACATGCAGACGGAGTCGGACGCTCACCCGATGCCGGACCTTCATGACATGGTCCGAGGAATGGGTGGAGCGAAGATTTACAGCACCATGGATTTGAAATCAGGATATTGGCAAGAGGGTCTCTCACC